TACTAGTTAATTGTCGCTATTATTACACAGTGTTTCACAAACAATTTTTAGGTCAGTCCTTGTTCACTTTTCAGGAACAGTCAAAATCGCCTTGCCCATCTAAAGAAGAAGTCATTTGCCCTCTTGCCAAATTCTTACCTGTAGTGACCATGTGGTGTTATGCAGATCTGTGTTTAGGCACTCCGTTGTAAGTGCTGGCCTACTTTGCAGCTTCTCTTCTACCAAATATGGGCAGATCCGAACCATGATGTGTCCTCCCTTGCACGCTATGTTTTATACCTTTCATACTCACAGTCATCTATTGATCCTTTGCCTACCTGCCTACCTTCGGTGCTTCCTCTTACTTGGAAACTTCTGTGATTAAGGTCAGAAAAGCCAGACCTAGATGAGGACAACTCTTCACTTTTGACCCTTGAATTTATTTTTTTCCTAGCTCTCTCTTGGGCCACAGTGACTTATTCATTAACAAGTATGGTTAGAACATAAACACCACTATCAGCTTGCATCTGTTTATAAAGTTAAGTCTCTATTATTAAGGGACCAATTAACCAGTCTGGAGGTTCCACGGGCCTCCTGCAATGTGCCTTTTGGCCACCTCAGTCCCCACAGAACATCACTCAGAGAGCGTGGAGATGACCAAGCAAAAACTCTGAAACAAAGATTATTCAGTTGAGCTCCACGTGAAGTTAGTCAAGTCTGGGGGAAACGAAAATTATACATTTCAGTGTGCTTGGGGATTATCTAAGGACAGAAATTCACATGGTGACAGTGAGCGGGGCTTCCTTTTATACTATATAAATGCTTGTCAATGAGCTATAAAATGTAGGTATTATGAGTGCTAATAAAAGTTAGGAGTGTTATTTTTCTGGTATTAAAATCGAGTCAACAAATCGTTACCAAATGTTTGCCTGCCGTCCTATAAAAGAAAATGTTTGGTTGTCCACCTCTAGACAGGAGCTCAGAGAGAGAAGGCCTCAATTATGTTGACTTCAGGCCAGGATTAGCCTCAGTGACTTAAAGTATTTTGCATTCATCCGACAATAATTGTAACTGACCTTGAATATTACTGAAGTAGCTACGAATAGATCTAAGCTGTTGGGGAGACACAAAGATTGCTTTAGCATAGCATTTCACTTCTATTTCTTTATACTAGTTTGCGGGATAACCCATTTTAAATAATAAGTTAACATTCCTAAAATGTATGTGTAAACTAGAGATACTTATTTCAGACATAGTTTTTTATTAAGATGTTTCAGAATCCTTTAAGACCCAATACGTGGTGGCTCCTAAATTTTTACCTTTACAAGAGTCCATCTATCTTCCCATTCTTAGCCACTGCATAGTTATCGTTGTATAAAGAAATAGTTAAGAATCCTAATTTTAGTTCAATTAAAAAATATTTTAGTGAATACTGTAGTATTGGTTTCTAACACCAAACCTTTTCAACTTGCAGAATCTTGCCACAAGTATTAGATTTCTGTACATTCACATATAAAATTTGTGCTTTACTCCAGAAACTGATGGGAGTGCTTTACTCTTTAGAATCCTCTAGAATGAGGTTCAGCAATGGTTTCTGTAAATGACGAAATAGTAAATATTTTAGGCTTCGTGGGACAAGAGGCAAAGTTGAGGATATTATCTACAACTTTTTGTTAATACAGGTCTCCTAATGAGCACAGTGGAATTTATTTAGGGATGCTGAAATATGAATTTCATATACTTTTCATGTGTTATGAAATATTATTCCTCTCTTACTTTTTTTCAACCCCTTAAAAATGTAGAAACCATTCTCACCATCTGGCCATGCAAAAGCAGGCTGGCCAAGTCTGGCTCAGGGGCTGGAGTTTGCCAATCCTTACCCTAGAACATAAGCTCTTAGACAGTGGATAGTCCAGAGCCCTGCACCAGTGGTGAATTCCGCGAGGGCTTTGAACTTCCTGAGGAAATTCCATAGACCAGAGTCCACAGCTTTCCAAGAAGTCCAGGATTAAGGAAGATTAGGGGCCACCGTTCTAGAGACAATCACTACTGTGCAGTCACTCCTGGGAATTCCTACCTCGTAGCTAATACTATTAGAGACACTGGGGGTAAATAATTGTCTAGAAGATCTTGTTATTCAGGAATTGGTTGTCTTCACCATTCCTGTTGGCTTTATAAGACTTAGAGGAAGCTGAAATTCCACACCTCTGGTTTTCGAGGGAAAACCTCATATTTTCAAATATTTAGTAAAAATAATTTAGGTTCAGGTGAATATCTGAAACATATTTAAGTGTCCAGACTGTTTGAGACTATAAGTAGAAATCAGATTCAACCTCCTAGGAACTTTTCTCTTTAAAAGGTTCTTTACCCCGCAGGTGGGTTCTTGTTAGCTCCACTGACATGAAGGACTACGGTAGAGGTATAGGCAGGATGAAAGCTGCGTAGTAAAACTGAATGTGGGAGCTTGCAGGCTGCTTAACGGGTGGCTGTTAGCCAAAGCTAAGCCCTTGAATGTTCAAATTCATGAAATGGAATAGTGACCCTGGGGCAGAAGTGGTGGTGGAAAAACCAAAAATGTCCATTTGAAAGTAAATAAGGGGAAGCCCGGGTGGCTCAGTCAGTTAAGCGTCTGCCTTCAGCTCAGGTTATGATCCTGGGGTCCTGGGATCCAGCCCCAGGGCGGGCTCTGCGCTCAGCGGGGAGTCTGCTTGAGGATTCTTTCTCCCTCTCCCTCTGCCCCTCCCCCCGGCTCGAGTTTTCTCTTTCTCTCTCCCTCTCTCTCTCTCAAAGACATAAATAGATCTTTTTTAAAAATTCAGTAGTTTTGGGGGCGCCTGGGTGGCTCAGTCATTAAGCATCTGCCTTCGGCTCCAGTCATGATCCCAGGGTTGTGGGATGGAGCCCCACATCGGGCTCCCTGCTCAGCGGGGAGCCTGCTTCTCCCTCTCCCACTCCCCCTTGCTTGTGTTCCCTCTCTCACTCTCTCTCTCTCTCTGTCAAAAAATAAATAAAATCTTTAAAAAAATAAAAAATTCAGTAGTTTTTAAAGAGAATCGTAATAATGGTTCTCACATTTATAAAAGGCAAAAAGCAAAACGTATCCAAGAGAAATAGTGTGGTGACTTCAGTGAGAAATTTACTATGAACGTCAGAGAGAAAAGAGAATTAGAACAGAGTACTATTGTGTGGTTCAAATACAGAGTTTTACCATGAGAGATTCTTGCTGATTTTCGAGACAACCATGAATCCTCAAGTTGATAAAACGTGCCTTATCATGGAAGCATGCCTGAGTAGTTGTTTCCAAGAGATTTCCGTCTCATTCTATAAAATAATATCACATCAGCTAATTCCTAGAGCTTCGTATCTCATTCGATAAGATATGCCCTTATAGCTTTATATCACAGTGCCTCGTTGGGCTGGGGCAGCCCTAGACAGCTAGGCCTCCAACGTTAAAGCACCTTCCCTGACTGCACCATCAACTTTCCAGGTACCTGGTGTTGCCAGTGTTGAGGGTCCAAGTTCTTTCTGTCCTTCCTAATACGCCAATTAGCTACTTTGATAAAATCATCTATGGTCCAGTGCAAATCGGGAAGCCCCTTCCTTCCAAGTCGGCATGTGGTTTTTTTTAACAGACTTCATGGAGAAGGCGTGCAGGTGAAAATCTCAAGTCAGACCAGGGGGTGGGTTGGTGAATATATATAGCCCCTCACTTGGTACTCCACAGCCTCCCATTCTACCTGCATTTCGAGCTGTTCCTATTTGTGTGATTTAGCAGAAGGTATGGGTACAGCTTGATGGTGCAGAAGATTCATTCTTTAGTGAAAGAAATAAAAAGAAAGCAGGAGAGAACTCACAGCATTAGCAACACACCGTGAGACTCCACCAGGTGTACATCAGTGCACTAACAACCTTATAGAGTCCCTGCTAGACATGTACCACATTTAGCCGTGGTTTGTCCTTAATTTGTTCAGTGCTTACATTTCTTTTTAAACTTTATCATTGATTCTATCAGTCATTCACTGAGAATGGGGTACTATAGTGGAGACAAGAGAACTATCAAAGAAATTAGAACCACATTGAGAGGAAAAGACGCCCACTTTGGAACAAGCTGGAAAATAGCACATAAATTGATAAATTACATGGTTACAGATAATAAAGGCAATACATATATCAAGCTCTTTGAAATTGGGACTTTCGCAAGATAGAAAAACCCATGGGAGCCCTTTCCATTGCTCCTGCTTTCCTTTACAAGCTGTGCTCTACTTGATACACCTTAAAATCCTGTCATCTTATTTCTTCCTGCCTAACAGGGATCCTTGGAGCATTTTTTAGGGCCCCTTTTGGACTGTGGATATCATCTGGCCCCCTAGGTAAAGACGAGGCTGGGCAAGTCAGATTCATTTGTGAAGTAGAACCCTTAATTTAAAAAAAAAAACCAAAAAACGACCATACCCATCTCATTTTGGGTGGACAGCAAGAAGTTGTTAGAACTCTCACTTTAATCTACCCCTTTCTTCCACACTCCTTGCTGTCTTCCGTAATGGATAGTGGACCCAAAACAGAAGTAAGTTGTCGATAGGGTTGGTGGGAACTTCGGCAGGCTAGAGCCGGGCAGTGCTAATGGGAAAGAAGAAGGAATGGGGAACGAAGGGGCTTTCAGGAGAACCTGAAGTCGGCCTGCAAGGCACATTGCCTGTATATATGATATCGTCTGTGGCATGGTTTTTAGGTTAAAAACAGAAGCGCGAGAGAAAACGCATTTCAAAGACATTCCATCAGTGAGACTTAATGTGCCTAATTCATGACTCAAAATTGTGTGCCTGGTTTGATCAGTTTACCAATAAATTTGTTACTCAATGAGATTTGTTGGTTTAAAGCAACTCCTATGTGGGAATTAATATGAGACTAAAAATCAATCGGTAAATTTGGATATGACTTAGGCTTTTTGAAAGAGTGTGTCCTTGTGTAATAGTAGTAAGAATCTATTTACCTCTAATACCTTTTTTCTCTTTTAAACATAGAGTTCTTTTCCTATGAATCCGTCACTTGCAGCTAATCCTGCAATGGCTTTCAATCCTTACTTACCTCATCCTGGGATGGGCCTGGTTCCTGCTGAACTTGTACCGAATGCACCTGTTCTGATTTCTGGAAACCCGCCTCTCGCATTGCCAGCAGCTGCTGGTCCCAAGCTGATGCGTTCGGATAAACTGGAGGTATTGGTGTAGAACTATGTAAATACCTATAGGGTAGCTATTAACCTCATGCACAAAGCAACATTCTCAGAGCCCAGTGTTTTGAATGCTTTAAACAAAGACACCTCTGGGTTTCTAGCTTATGGAGTACAACCTCAGGAAAACAGTAAAGGTTTGACTACTGCAGTCGCACCCTGCTGTGAAGTGCATTGATTCGGTCGTACAGCAGGTCAAACAATGTCTTAGCGTGCCCAACCGCGGACTCGCTGTGGAACCGGAAGCCTGGTGGGAACGCTCCTTTTCCCCAGCCCCCCACTTGACAGACTGCGATGAACTGTATTGTTAATGAGTCTCAAATTGCTAGAATAATCCAACTGGGGGATAAAAAAAAAAAGTAGACTAATCTAACTCTCTATGAATGCAGAATGTGAAACGAGTATCATAGAATCTAAACTTTCTTTTTCTCCATCTTAAGAATGATGGACTAGATAATAAATACCCTCCCTGCCTATGAAAAGGCAATCTAAAAGAAACTTCAAACAGCGTTTTGATTTAAGGAAGTCCTTCAGTCTTCCCTTGTTATTCTTCATAGATTGAAAGAAATAGCTAGTCCGTTTCATATAGAGTCAAAGCCATTGGCTGACTTAAATGCCTGGCAGTGTATTGTAATAGAATCTGATTGTACACGTAGCTCAGTCATGAGCCACAATTTTGCTGGGGAAAACTGCATGGCTGTGTGATAAAGACTCATCTTGGACTCGAGCAAAACAGCCCCCTCTTGCAAATTTGGTTAATTACACTTCAGGCTGTGAATTAACTGGAAGATTATTAAGTGGTTTCCCACAATACTTTTTTAAGCACTTTGATTTCAACGTAAGGAAAACAGACAACTTTGCTTGGGAAGGAGCGGAGTATTTTTCCCTTGGACTAGAAATGTCTGTGTTTACACCTCACACTGAATATGGATTTACCTTATCCTTCAGCTTTTTAGATTTTTCCTAAATAGATGACAAAATCATGTAGACTACTGCTCTTGCATTTGCTGGCGAAATAAATAAAAGCTAATCACCTTCCAGGCATCAATGTGATGTGTGTTTTTGTTTTGTTTTGTTTTAATTTAAGGTTTGCCGCGAATTCCAGCGTGGAAATTGTACCCGTGGTGAGAACGATTGTCGCTATGCTCACCCCACGGATGTTTCCATGATTGAGGCAAGTGACAATACCGTGACGATCTGTATGGATTACATCAAGGGGCGATGCACCCGGGAGAAATGCAGGTACTTTCATCCTCCTGCACACTTGCAAGCCAAACTCAGGGCAGCTCATCACCAGATGAACCATTCAGCTGCCGCCGCTATGGTAAGTAAGAAGGAACCAGGTGTTGTGGACCATTGTGGGGTAAATGATAGTATATTCCCCAGCTTGTCGAATATCCTTGTAACCATAATCTTGGATAGTCATGAATGGATCTTACTCTGAATAGCCAGGGTTATAAGCTGGAAAAGACAGAACCTATTTATTCTGCTTCATTCACTGAAATTTTGTCCAAGATAATCGTTTCAAAGCTTTACTAACGATTTTCATTGACTGTGCTTTTTTCCCCATCTTTAGAGGAAGGCTAAATTATGTAATTTAAACAGGAAACTATTTTGAGTGGTTTTTGATAGCCTGACTAATCCTAATCACCTACAAAGGCAGAAAGTTACCTCTCGGCCCCGTGAGCCACCTTCATGGACACTTTGCTAGTAAGGTAGGAGGTTGGGAAAAGATACACACAGCACTCCAGTGTGATGGGTTGAGAAATAGGAATTAGGGTTACTTAAGTCGGTCATAGCTATCAGTAACTTTGATAAGCGACTTGCAATTTCTTTTTTGATGTGGGCCTTTCCTCGTGTCATGGGGTATGATAATCCCAGTAAGGGAGCAAACCCTGAGGAAACCTCATGATCCCAAAGCCCATGACAGGAACTTACCTCTCCCTAAACGAGATGCATTTATTTTCAAACATCCCTATTTGTGAAAAAGGTTTCCCTCACATTGAGTCGCAGTCTACCTTGCTATCACTGGGACTTGACACGAATTTCATTACACAAAATAGGTCAGTCCCTATTCCATAGGAGTGGGGCCTTTTTTCTAAGGCAAATACTCCAAATTTCTCCAAACTTTTCCCAGGGTGTATAGATGGAAGGACACAGCACCAATTCTCCCCTGATCTGGAAATCAGTCTGTTGATGAATTTTAAAAAGACTTCATCAAGTGGTTTTGGTCTTAAATTCTCTTGAATGAAGGGATTTTTTAAGCTACGGAAATAGCAAGGTCTCCAAAATGTTCAGTGCAGATTTTAAACCTCCAGTTCTTTGATCACTTCTGTTGGTGGCATAGAGTTTAGGAGCAGTGTGGGTCTATAATAGAGAGGAGGAATACAGTAGGCCCCCTAAAAAGAAAGGTTCTCATATGCCTGAGATGTACAAGGAATGGCTTGCTTATGCCATTGAATACCTGTTCCATGCTCAGTCATGGGCCTTCATATGTATGTGTCCATTTCTCATGACTTGGCTGTGTTTGGTAGAAGACATATAAGTCAGCCCCAAATTTCCACGTAGGGAGTTAACTATTTGTTATCTGGTAGGCCTTTATTTGGTACTTGTGAATATCAATATAAAATTCCTTTCTGAGTAACTGATCAGAGCAGAATCTTAGCGGGAAGGTCAGATTGGCCACCAGAATTGGTTCGAGGTAAGATCAAATAAAGGAGGCTTCTTGAAGAAATGTGAGCTTTCTGGAATACTACTCAGCCATCAAAAAAAATGAAATCTTGCCATTTGCAACGACATGGATGGAACTAGAGGGTATTATGCTAAGCGAAATAAGTCAATCAGAGAAAGACAATTATCATATGATCTCACTCATATGTGGAATTTAAGAAACAAAACAGGATCATAGGGGAAGAGAGGAAAAAATAAAACAAGACAAAATCAGAGAGGGAGACAAACCATTAGAGACTGTTAACTCTAGAAAACAAACTGAGGGTTGCTGGAGGGGAGGAACGTGGAGGGATGGGCTAACTGGGTGATGGACATTAAGGAGGGCACGTGATGGAATGAGCCCTCCTTATATAAGACTGATGAATCACTGACCTCTACCTCTGAAACCAATAATACATTATATGTTAATTAATTGAATTTAAAGTTTAAAAATAAATTTAAAAAATAAATAAAAGAAGCTAGGCATAAAAAAGAAAGAAATGTAAGTTTTCTGTATTTTTAAAGATTCAGAGCTGAAATGCTTCGTAAAAAAGAGTTGTTGGTTTTTTGTTTTTTTTTTTACCTTCATGTTCATGTGCGTAGCTCAGCTTGACTTCACTGAAAGCAGTTTGTATGCATTTAAAAGCAAAAGACGCGAAGGGTAAATATTTAGTGCCCAAAGGAAAATAGAGATACCTTTAGACTTTGATCCACAGGATAAAGGAGGTCATGGCTTGCCCCCTTTTTGGCCTGTGGAATGCTAGTCACTCAACACAAGTGTTCCTGTCTCCTTAAGAGTTTGGAGCATGCCTAATTCTTGTCACTGGGACATGTTTTTTAAGTCACATGTAATTTGCTGACAAAAAAAAAAAAAAATGTAAAAAGTCATGTCAAACTTCTCCAGTGAATCTGATCCAGGAGCAAATTTGAGTATTATAAGCACAGTGGGATTTTGAAAGAAGTGTAGACATGAAAGAAGGATTTTAAATTCTAATGCATTTTAGAATTAAACCTGACAAGGACTTAATGAAGCCAGTGATACATCCTGAAATGCACAGCAAGCACCTGTAAATGAGAATTGCACACATTTTGCTGTCTATGTTATCTGGGTGAGGCGGGTGGTGGGGAAGAAAAGAATTTGCTTTTCTCTCACATGTTAGTTGGGAGAAGCACAGTTATGGATTTGGACCTGAAGTCCTTCTAGAATTTAGATTTTGTTTTATGGCGCTACAGTATCAGACTCTGACCTCCCGATATCTGTTTTATCACCATCACCATTGATCTCCTAGATCCATGTTAGAATTTTAGCTGGCCAAAATCCCTTTCCTGCTCTATCTGTTGCTTCTGCTTATCTCATTGTAATAGATTCATGGATGAACATCCCCGAGATGTTAATTTTAAATGATTATTTGCTGTTAAGCTTGAGGTCACATCTTGCTCAAGTGAGGAGGCCCCTTTTTATTGGCCTAGATGAGTGAAGTTGAAAATCAGGGTTTTTTTTCCCTGTATGTGTATTTCCCGTTTGGGATTAAGTACTCATCTAGTCAGTTGCTCAGTGGATAGGCTGCCCTGGTGAAGGGTTCCCGGGCCACACTTTATCTAACTGCTGCTTGCTTGCTTTGAGTACATTTTTTACTTTCTCTGGTGCTATTTATTAATCCCTCCCTCCCTCACAGGCCCGCCAGCCTGGTATGCTTCAACTGATACCAAAGAGATCGGCACTTGAAAAGACCAATGGTGCCACTCCAGTCTTTAACCCCGGCGTTTTCCACTGCCAGCAGGCTCTGGCTAACCTGCAGCTCCCACAGCCGGCATTTATCCCTGCAGGTGAGAACAGGGCTCTGGGCCGTGTGAGTCTAGCCATGTTGTGAATGTGTACAGAGCACACCAGCTGCCAAAGAGCTTTAATGGAGCACTGTGGACAGGTGTTTGGGTTGGAAATAAAACAAGGCCGTTAGACTTGCTCTGCCAGTCTATCGGACCAAATGTCTCTATGATGCCTTAAAAGTAATGGTTTGAAATCAAACGAGGAAAAACTGTCGACATTTTTCTTTTTAGCATTTCTTAGTTTTTGCTTCTGATGATTGTTTCACTTGATTCAGTCTCAAACTAATTCCTTGACTCTTAGGTATCCCTTGAAAAGACACTGGTCACCCCTCAAAAAAAAAAATGTTTCCCAGCTTCAGCATTGCAAAAATACGTAATCTGTATATCTTTGATATGCCAAAGATAGTTATAATAAACCTACCCTTGAACTTACAGTGTAGTTATAAGACAGTATAGTGTGTGTGTATATATATATATCTCACATACTTTTAGCCTTTAACTCTTACACCAGTTAATATAAAAACTAGAGCAGTTTATCATATTTTCCTGATACTCTGCAGGATATTTTGTTACCTTCTACATTCACATGTATATAATACCATAACAGTTTTGTACCAAACTGAATAGAAAATTTTGTTCAAATAAATATCACATATGAGGAGAAATACTTTTCTTCCTGTGGTTCAGTACTTTAAGAATGAGCGTATAGTCTCTTAGGAATAAATTGAAAATACCACTGGGAGTACAGTAGTTTTTGTTTTTTGTTTTTTTTGTTTTTTTTTACCAGAATCATAAATGCCCCAGTTTGGAAACTATTATTAAATGAAACTGCTATGCTTTAAAATTAGTTTAGAGTACCTTATTGACTATATAAATGTACTAAACACCCATTGGTTAATTGATAAATTAATCAGCTAATTAATTTAGCTGATTAATTAATTAATTAATTTAGAAAGAAGCCATAGAAAACCAATCTTTAACCACAGTAGTTCTTTATTTAAAAAAACAGAATTTTTACAATTTTTAGACTTTTTTTTGCTGGATATGGCTAATTTAAAGTCTAGATTTAGGAGCGAAATGTCAGAAGAATCCCTTTCCCCCTAATTAATAGCAAAATTAAAACCTGTTGGACTGAGCACCCCCTCTTGATGAGAAACCTATTTGCTCTGTGTTCATAGTCAAGTTCACCATTATGAGGTGGATGAGGCTGTGGTAATAGGTGTCCAAAATAAAAATGCAATTTAAGCAAGGTAATTCCTTTAAAGAAAAAATTAATGTTCATTTTTATACCTAAGAATCCAAGAATTACTTTGATTACCTGGGTTGGGGAGCTTAAAACTAAGCTGTAATTGTGAGCATGGGAGTTTACTGGATTTGCATGTGCTCATTAATTAATATTGCAAAGAATATCTTTCTAGTTAAAAATGATTTCTCTCCGTAAAGATTTAATAATGAAATCTCTCTCCTTTACTTTTCACGCTTTTCTGCATGGTGTACAGGGCCAATACTGTGCATGGCACCCGCTTCAAGTGTTGGTAGGTTTTGTACAAACATTCTCAACTTTTTCTAATCCGAAAGTAAGTGTTTTTCTGTCATGACTGTGAAAGAGATGAGTGACTGGGTGATGTGGTTCATGGGCCACCAGCTTGGGAGGAAGGGGCATTTGGAAAGAGTCAGGGCACAAAGAAGAGAGAAAGCAGGCAAGGTAAAGAAGCTTGGAAGTGGTATTGTGGCCTGCCTTTGCTCCATGGAAGGCTGAGCATATTTATGACAAAAGTTGCAAGAAGGTACTTAACTTCTCACTGCAGTTTCACCACTGCGGCTACCAGACCTTTCCCTCTCCTACAATTATAATGCAGCTATACCGTGATTGGAATAATTTATATGTACAGATATCCTAGAAAATAAGTTGCATCACTAAGTGTAAGCAGGTTAGGGTACTTCGTCCCCAGTAGGAAGAAAATAAGAGAATTCTGCACTTTTGTATTTTAGAGCTGATATTTTTAGCACTCTTTGGACATTTTCTGAAGAGTGAAGATTTAATAGGGTGCTGTCTGTTTCACATCTCTGTCATTGCGGAATGACAACAGTGCTACACTCTTGAGTCCTAGGTGATCACCACTGGGGCCAAATACTGACCCTGCCATTTCTCTGCTTTCATCCTAAAAATTGCAGCTGAACTATTTTGAAACATTTCCTTAGCCAGCCAGAATGGGCAGTTTTCTTCTCAGCTTCACACCTGGGGCTTTCTAACGTGTAGTTCGTAAAGTATAACAAAACCGTTCTTGTCCCCCCCCCCCACCAAAGTTACCCACAAGATCTAAATCATTCTATGTTGACAAGGGATGAGTTAGGCAAAGCTAGAGCCTTCTGTAGTGTTCTGGGATGAATTCTGTAGTGTCCTGGGAGGAAATGCCAGGAGCATGGGAACCAGGCAGAACAGAATCCTTTCAGAATGACTCTTTGGGGATATGTGATTCTTAACAATCACTTACCCGCAAATCCTTTCATCAGTCACCAATACAATCTGGTAGCCATCTCAAGACCATTTTTACGTCACTAACATTGAAGAAGACAAGAAAGTGACTTGTTTCCATTGTAGGAGTTCTCAGTTCCTCCAGTCCATGGGCACAGACCAGGGGAAAATAGCTCCATTTGATACAGGGAGGAATTGTCCCACCGCACACCCCCCACCCCACCATGTCCTATCAATCCAGTGCTTTTCATCCTTTTTGAGAGTTTGCCATAGCCTGACCTCCGTCCTATTGGTTGACCAGAGGAGATGCAGAACCCAAAAGGGACAAACAAGTTTATTGAAATAAAACAAAAGGTCAAAATGACACACAGTAGTAGCACTCAAGAACATAGCAGGGGGTGACCCCTGGCCTCGGAGGTGGGGCCTCCGTTATGGAGGGATTGGCTGTCCCCTGTAGGAAGTAAAACATGTCCACTGATACTAACAGGAGCATCACACGCGTATGATTAGAACAGACTTCTGCAAGTTGGTGAAATGTGTAGGAATGCAAACTGCATGCAAGAGTGTTCTTAGAATCGGCAAGTGATACAGTAAGGGACGTCTATAGGTAACAGGTTACTGGAGATACGCTTAAGGGGTAACTACAGGATTTCTGTTAATCACCACTTGGGGTACATTTGTGGTTTCTGTGACGTTGTGTATATTGATTTTCCTCTCTCCAGGCCATTTACTTTCTCTGTAGACTTTCAGAATATCTGAATTCAATGGATGTAGACGTAAATTATTATATATGCACGCTCGCCATTCACGCCGTACCATTCACACATTAATTCCTTAGTTTGCTTTCCAAAATGAGCTAGAAATGAGAAAAGCATGCCAAAAGCTTTTAAAATGAGACAGAAACTAGAAAAGGCAAGAAGAGAACATCCTGAAAGAGACGTGACAGCTGCTAACCCTACAGTCGTCACTTTAATAATTGCGATGAAGACAAGATTTTGTCGGGTGTTTACTAGGAAGCCCCCCATGTGTTTGTTTGACAGACAGCGTAGATTTCCAAGGGATTTGCCAGAGGTGTACTTAAAAACCTGCATGCACAGTCCACTGTATTTATCTGCTCCCCCACCATGTACCCACCAATCGAACTGTCTTTTTTTTTTTCCCCCGCATGTAGATCAGGTAAGTATACCTGTAACTGTCTCTGTGCACCTGCCAAGCTAGTGACGATACTCAGGTCTCTCAGTTAGCGAACCCAAGCACCAATTCACACTTCCCCACTCACATTTCAACTGTGCATCCCAGTCACCTGCTTGACGAGGCATTCCAATAGGTAGCCTTGGTAAAATCAGCTTTTGTTCTATGCGCTCATCGTAGCCCCTTCCGAAAATTCGTCCTTTTAAGTCAACTATGTAATGGGATTCTGCTGAATAACTAGCTGTTGAGAGTGATGCTGTTTTCCTTAATGGTAACTATAATGGGCTTTCCCCTTTTCTCTTTTTAAATTTTTTCCCCCTTCCACGCTGTGTTGCTTTGCGCTGTGATTGCATGTTGTACCCCGGTGTGTCCATTATGATGATGTCCCATGGCTTCTTGCTGTGCTACCTACCGCGCCCCGTCCCATCGTTTTCTGTCATGGTTGCATAAATTCTCCACCCTCCCGTGTGTTGCTTCCGTGGTTGCCTACTGAAAGTGCCCATGATGCACGGCGCAGCTCCCACCACTGTGTCTGCAGCACCAACACCTGCCACCAGCGTCCCCTTCGCTGCAACAGCTACAGGCAATCAGGTTTGGCCATTTATTTTACGTGTTCAGACCAGAGAACTACCGTGTGTTGCTAAGGCACAGTATATGCCTTTGGGATTGGCGAGAGACACTGAGCCGTACTCCTGGGTGTTTCTTAAGCAGTCGTCACGCTTAGAATTTTTGTTCTTGTGTATCTTCTGGACGGGTGTATCTGCCACCCATCCTGAGGTGAATCAGCAGTTTTCTCAGTTTCAGTCAGTTCCCGGAGGTCGCTCTTCCTATGCTATCTTCACGATTGCTGCTGTCACACCAATCCTCAAACACATATACTGAGTACTCCGTAAATGCTTCCTCATTGGTCAAGAGAAGAATCTATTTTATTTTACTACCATTGTTTCAGTTATTGCGTTTGAACTTGCCCTCGGTACTATCATCACCTTTTACCTTCAGATCTGCTGGAAAGAAAGCCAAACAGCACACTTCTTTCCAGGGCACAGATATCCTTATCATTAGCCCGTGATGACATCAGCACTGTCACACTGACATTCCAACACTCGGTGACACTCAGTGATGACATCAGAGATCTCACACGGACCTTAGATGTGCCTGTGTTGTTGTGATTTTCATTTGCTTTAGGTATTTGCAGGCGGAGTCCCAAGACAGATTTTAAATTGGGGGAGAGTCTCGAAATTGTCATGAGCTACATACAACAATCATCGTGTAATGTGAGGGCTGTTTTGCCTTACTGAGTGGTAACCATGCTTCAAGCCTGCACATTCCACAGCTGCTTCAATTACAAATGATAACCATACAGCACATAGAGCATTAATCCACTGGGGGAATAAGCCACATTCTAATCTGTGCTTTGCAAAATTAACCATTAGTGGATATGGTTAATATGTCTCAATTTTTCTGTGAAATTGATTATGCTTTTTAATTGCCATTTCCAAACAGTGAACAAAATAAATGGGATTCTCTCAAGAAACTATTTTAATCTAAAATCTTTTTTACTACTATAGATACCCCCATTATCAATAGATGAACTGAATAGCAGCATGTTTGTTTCACAGATGTAGAAGTTACCAGTAGAACAGTAAGTTTCTTTAAGTATTAATATGAATAATATTTATAGATGATATCTTTTATATTTACACAATTGCATTTGCTAAAGGCTTTGGTAAATATTTTCATTAATAGGCATTGCTTATAATGTAGAGCTTGAGTTAAGCATTCCAAATTTTCCAAATTGAAATGTGGAGAGCAAATATGCAATTTTTTCTATGAAAAAATGACAGCCAGTACTGTGTTTTCCCAATGAGCTTACAAATTCTGAAGTGTTTTCCTGTTAGAAGTGTGAGTTGTCAGCCCAAGGCACAGATCACTTTTGAATATTAATTCTTTAACACTTTTCTAGCTTCGTTTTTCTGTTGTTGTTGAAGTAAAGCAAAGTAATTTTGTCACAGTCTGACTACAGTGAATATCATAAAGACAGTCAGCAATATACTTCTCCCGTGATGTCGTAAAAGATCGTGCTTTTTACACTCTGCCATTTTGTGTTGCTTTCCATGTAAGTCTATCAGAATTGCTCCAGCTGTTTTGAATTTTGAGTGATATAATTTAGTAACATAATCATTATTTTTGTTCAAATCGTGGCTTTTTAAGAAAAAAATTGTTGTTGGATTCCCATTACCCCACCCCCACCCCTTTGATCTCCGGTTTGCCCCATCCAGAGCCAGGCATAGCACACACTTAATTTGTGGAGTCCTTCACTTGGAAAATGTGACTTTTCAAGCCACTTAAGATTCCAGGGTATCTTAATTAATTACTGATAGGGACTTATTAATAACAAGTGTACGAATTCTGAATTGCATATATTAGTCATTGAAAGTTTGAGGTTCTCACGACTGGAGTGTTTCATTTAATTGACGGAGGTGATGGTTCTGTTCTCTTGGTGAACTAGTTCCCCAGAACCTGACCCAGAACACGAACTCTGTCCTGGACCGAGCCTATGGCTTGACTGCGCATTAGACCATTAGACAAACAAGTCCCTTTGATCATAAGGAATGTTTTACAGAGACACCTTTGAGTACGTGGAATAACGGAAGTAGCTGTAAATTGTAATTGTTTTCAGGTGAATCACTTGGGATGGTGGCAATTTGGGATCAGCATCAAACATGAGAATATAGGTTTTGCAAACACCTGCCTGATTCTCATGGGCTGCTTTACGATAAAGTAAACAAAAGTTGTCAAATATAATGACGAGCTTTCCAACAGCACATGTTTGAGAATCGTGATTCCTTTTTGCTAGACTCCGTTAGAAAATTTAGACGTATTTGGCACACCGTAATCACTTCAATGTGTGACAGATGTCGAAAATTTCTCCAAAGTTCAAAAACGTAATTTTGTAAAATGCTATATACCTAGATAGCACCTTGGCTATTTCTGCATGGCTCCAAACCATTCAAATAAAAAAAGTTTAAAGTATGTTTCATATTTGCATATTTCAAAATGGCGGGTTTCGAACAGGTTTTCCCAATATATGTTTGAAGGGAGTTGAAGGAAGTGGAGAGATAGGTGGCTGTTCATCCACACGTTCAGGCATTGTGTGGATGAAACCTTAAATGACTGAGTGCATCTCTGTCACCTTAGGGCAGTTCTGTGCACTAGGACTCAGTGAGGCCATGAACTGTCATGCCATATGACTCTCTGTGACCCTTTCCAACAGCCCCATTTTCACAGGTGTAGGATATGAAACTCAGAGTGGGGAATATATTGGCAGTTCACATACAGAACTGGCATAAGAACCAAGTATCCCGACTCCTGCTTCAATAACCCCTTAAAATTTCTCACTCTTTCTCTCTCTCTCTCTTTTTTTTTTTTCCATTTCAGTTGAAATTCTGAACAACAGAGTTACGGAGTATCAAGATCTCTCCATGAGAACCTCCATATGGCCTTTCCATATATATTTTCGTAGGTCCTCTTCTACCAATGCTACGATGAGTGTGGTGCGGTCAATATATTAAACCAAACGCATATACCAACCAACAGATTCAAACAAAACCAATAAAGCATTAAGCAGTCAGTGGAGATGTTAAAACAAAACATACATCGAAAATTAATAACTAACATTTATCTTATTTGAATTAGTAGGTAGAACACGACCGTAAAGTTTTGTAGTTTGTTACATTATTCTTTGTGATTTTCCAATAACCATTATGCTGAGTGAATCTCCACAGTGGACTGTTGGCTTACTGTGCATTCTTGGTGGGTAAATGTTCATCTGTTTCAAAGTGTTACCTTACTGTTTTGTTTACACAATAGTCTATTGGGTTGATTTAGAATGTAACAAATGTATCCAGTACCATTTTCCTCACTATTGTATTGTATTGTGGTGTGGTGTGTTGTGTTAGATTTTGACATACTATAGTGTTTTCCTCTAGATGTGTGGTGTTTGATTTCAACTAGAATATTAGTAATGGGAAACAGAAATATCTGTGTTTGAAAAACATAACAGATTAATGTTAACATGCTTTCTCTCTCTTTAGAACATTTCTGTAGGTTTCTTGGGGCAGACATTCATTATAAACATGCATGTGTATAATTTGTACCTGCGGATCTGACCTTGCATAATACAATCACATGACTAGGTTTTTTTGAGAGGAGAGAGAAATAATTACCTGCAAAAAACAGGGAACTTCTGAAAATATGAACCCCTAATCTCACTCCTCAAAAAGCTTGCAAAATTACAATTTACCTTTAAAGGTAAATTTCTCAGCATTTATGTGAAGTGCCCATTACGTTTCTTGTGGTTCAAGGATCCTATCTCCTAGGTTGAGCCATTTGTCAACTTCAGCTGAAGATTGGTACTTGGAGGCTTAAAGGTATGTTAATTGTAGGTTATAAATTAAACAGGGAGGTGAGGACATGGAGATAGTTTTTCCATTTTAGAGGAAAGTGTGTGAAAACCTTTTCCACAAGTGCCATTCTCTGGATGAATATGGCACCTGCTGTTTAGACCACTCTTTGAATAATAAGAGGCAATCTTGCAAAAGTCAGGGTGAAAGAGAAGTGGTTCTGAGTGAGGTCTTTCCTCCCCAAATGGATAGCCTTCTCCATTGATCACAGTTGGAGTATGAGTATAGGTTTGGAGAAACCGTGGGGGTGAGGAGGAGGGTAGGAAGACATTTCAAGTGAGTCTTTGATTTACTTACAACTGCTAGGAAGGCTGTCCACGGTTGTCTTTAGCTTCAGTTCACCCAAATTTCCAGTTCTGTTGAACACTTCAGTGAAGGAGCCAACATCTGTGTCAAGTTGCCTTTCCCAGACTTTATTAACAACAGAGTCATATCATAACCAAGCCTTTTTTTGTTTCCTCGTTTAGACTTGTTTGTTTTTATATGTATTTGAAAATTGTAATAGAGAGGTTCTCAGCACCCTTTGGATGAGACAGACCAGCTACACTCCATGGAGCTGAGCTGAATTCACGTTACTAATCCTCGTGACATAATTGTATAACCAAGTAAAACAGTAGTTCGTATGGTAGGTGACATACCTCCTCCACTGTACTCAGTTATTAAAGTTACTATTGCTATACAGTGCTGGAACCATAAGATACTTCACATCAACCTAGGTTTAATATTTTCTACTAAATATATATTCTTTCACTAGAAAGCATACAATCAGCAAATTTAATGTTATAGCAGGTTTGTTCTCCTTCATGAAAATGACAAGGAAAGAGAAAATGGGATTTAGGATACCTTAAGCTGGTTAGCAGCATTTGAATCATAGAACAATGGAGTTGGCACAGCCTTCTCACAAGGGATGAAACCGGGGCCTGGGGCACGTGACCTGCCCACGGCTACCTACCTAATCGGTGGCAGTCAGACCCAAAAAAATCTCCGGACTTTTGGTTGTTCCTCTGTTTCGCACCGTTTGTGCTTCGGCACATTCGCGACTCCCTCCCAAAGCAGATCCATTCCACTCAGGATACAAAAGGGCAAAATTAGCTGTGCGGGAGTTGATATCCTATTGTTCTTAATGATCAAGCCCGAATCACAATCATCAGTAATTTCTAAAGGGTCTTGCTTGCATCAAGACCCTGTCATCTATTAACAGTATTGCCTGGAGTTAGAGAACAAGATGTGTCCAGACTTTTGCCTGTTGACTCCATGAACCACTTAATTTCTGTTTCCCAAAATCTTAACGTTGTTAGAGAAGAAAGTAGAGTACACCTTTGTGAAATAACTTGTGTATAGAACCCGTGCTGGTGCCTCTCCAGAAAGGCAGAGCTAATCACACAAACCCAAGAAGGATGCACCTGAGCTAGTCTGGGGTCTTCCTTAAAGGGGCTAGAGATGTCTTCAGTGCGAAATGAACTCTTTTGTGTAGTTTGACGTTTTGATACAACGTATACTGTCTCATTTAACCTTTTAAACTTCTGACGAAGATGTACATAGACAAGCAGCCTAGTGTACAGTGGTTTTTATGATGCTGAGAGCACTGGAAGACATCCGTGATGACTTATTTTTCAGTAGGAGGTTCAGTGAAGGATATTCAGGGTAGTTGCAGTGTGGGTGCCACAATATTTGATATGGCTGGCATTCTAAAAGTTACTTTGTAAGTGAATTTAGAAGAAAGACGATTCAAAGCACTCAAGTTTTGATCAGATGCAAAAGAACGTTGACAAAAATGCAATTGTAAGATAGCACTCTTTAAACTAGTTGTGCAATGACTTATGCTGATACTCTTTATTCAAGAAAAGAAACGAAGAAAGGAGTCATTAGACTATAAATTTCCAGTTAAAAAGCCAAGTCACAAAACTAATCAGTGACTCTAAACAATAATTTACTGGATGAATTGTATATATAAAATTCTAACCACTTGTGATTCTTAGTTGACTTTTTATAAGCTTTGTATTTTATAAGGGCTTCTATTCTTATTTATCCAAAATTATTGTTTTTGTCCATTTCTCTCAGCCTTTTGCAAAAATAGGCAAGAGTACTGAAACTTGGATAAAACAGGTCAGGTATACAGAGAAAATAATCTAAAAGTTATCTGTTAAGAGGGTTTTAGTAGTATCAAAAAAATTTTTTAAAGGCACTATGTGAACAGAAGTATATTTTAAAGAGGGATTAAGATGAAATTAAAACCAAATGGATTCATAAAATTGCTATTTAAATACAGTATTTACTTTTGCAATTGGAGCATGATTCTCTAACCAGCTGTTGCACTTCATCTCACTTGTCTAGACTAGAGTCTAATTTGTAGTTCATTGTCATGTGAAAAGCCATCTTCTCCCTCCTCCATCAACCTTTGCCATCTGTTTTTGAACATGCGAAAGCACTTTGATATTGCCGTTAAGTGTTGTCCCGCACCACGGGGCTGTGTTCACTAAGGTTCCGACTTATTTTAGTCTGTAGGGTAGGCTGTAATGCACAGAACGATTAGAAACTGGAATCCTCTTTCTTTTTGTCTCTTCTGCATTTCTACACACACTGAAATAGAAGTAGGGAAATAGGCCCTCCCAGTTGTGTTGAATAGATGTAGGAAGGTAGTGGCCTCTTTGTTAATTTTACCAGTGCCAGTCGAAGGCACCAGAATGAATAGTATCTAAAAGAGTATCACAACTTTTTTTGCAAACTTAGTTGATAGCGTCATCAAACTGTAGATAATAATTGCAGACATAGTTTCTGAGCACCAAGTCCCTCATTGGTGCCAGGTTTTCATTTTTCTTTTTAGTTTTTAAGGTTTTTGTTATACTACATTTTTATATCTCTAAGTCACTAACGAATTTAACTTTGCAGGAGAGTTAGAGAAAAGTTTAAGATTTTACTACATGTACTCAACCCACCTAGATAGGCTTTAAACTGACACCGAAGCATGACAAGATATAGATTATAGTCCATAAATATTCTTTACAGTTCACAGTTTAAGAACAAACTTAACTTTATATACAAATAATAATTTTTTAACTAATTATATTTAGTTGTTGCTTTAGCAACAAAACTACAACATGGCTACCTTTAGACACCTGTTTTCTTTTGTGTGATAATTTACTCATTAACTATACATGGTTTTTGACAGTATGAGTATGTAGAAGGTACAGCTCAAAATTCAGAGAACAGATCTGGCTGAATTTTTCTTTAATCCCAAATTGCCACGCGAAAGCTGAATTTGTGTCCTTATATGACTTTTTGATCAAAAAGTTTACAACACATGGATTCTAGAGTCAGGCTTTTTAGCTTGTAGAATTTGTTGTGTGGATAGGGTTATTCCACAGTATTTCGACTTCAAAACATGATCATTGCATTTCTAATCTATTATCTGACCTTTCTTTCATAACATTACTTATTCCAAATTATTCTATGCAGGAGGCATAGCTGTCACTACAAAAATTCGCTTTTCTGGAATTATATACCCACCCCAACACATCCAAAAGAGGCTTAAAGAATGATGGACACGTATTTTGGAATGAATTCGTATTTGTAAAACCATACATAAAGATACTGTGGAATGACCCCTTAACAGTGTTTGAGAGACATATGCTGCAGTTAACTGATGGTCTCAGTTAGGGTGCGACTGTGTGAGACACACCTTTTTTGCACTTATGTACATAGTCCATGAACGCTATGCTTGGAACTTTTGTTTTTTAAATATAAGAAATCTGTGATAATAGCAAAAAAGTAAGATAGAGTTATTTCTAAGGCCTTGAGAAGGAGGGGGGTTTTGCTAGAAGACTTAACTAAAGCACGATGTTGCTTTGCTGTTGGGGAGGCTTTCTGGTTTGCTATAGTTCACCAAAAGAAAAGACTGGTAACAGGTAACAGGTCACCTTCCGCTAACAGCACTGACCAAGAGCGAGAAAGTCCTTTCATCTTTTACAGTAGCAAAGATTATTGGCTTTTTAGATTAATCTCCATTGTAAACACACACACACACAGACACACACACGAGGCAGGTTTCTGGCAAAGGTCTTCCTTTTCCAATGGTTGCAAGCAGTGAAGTACCCTGTAGGTTGCAAGATGGATAGATCCATTTTGATCAACTTAGATTTCATCTTTCCCAGAAAATTACTGATGGAGAGGTATCCGTTCCATCAATTAATATCCACTTAAGTGACAATCAAAGTGTTAACGTTCACCACTACTTCTCCTTTAAAATTCAGATCCCAAAACCCAACTGGCAACCACTGAAAGACTTCATTTTACAGCTAAGTATGGCCAGCACAGGCATTTCGTTCCCTCCAATGAAAGGGGAAAAAAAAATGCCCCTGGCACAACTTTATAAATGGCTTTAAACTTACCTTATACCTGTTCAGTGGAAGCTGTTCTCTGACTCGCCTTTACCAGATTAGAAAGTGCTTCACGGTGCCATACAGCCTCCCACTGTTTTAACTAAACAGAAGAGAACCAGCCCAAATCTCACATATGTAGGAGCTGCAATCAGACCATCTCGGTCCATTTCCCTACCTCCCATTCCCCCATCTAACTTTTTGTTGCCTCCAGGCAATGGGATTAGAAAGGTGTGAGGATAGATCACCATGGGTATTTTGGATCCTTCCCCTGCCTTGGAGAAGGAACCCATCCTGGGATCGGGGGGCTGGTATTAGTATTGCTACCCATCTTGCTGGTTCTCCCTTACAGAGAGAGGAAAACAAGCCAAAGCCAGACAGCAATCCAAGCCTTACAGTTGTCCAATAGCTCAGGGCCAGTTGG